TTTTTGGTTTCAGGCTTGTGTTCAACTACATTAGGAAGGATATTTTGGGGAGGCATGTCGCCCTAGTTAGGTGCATTGATGCATTGAGTACTCATACGCAGGTGAGTTCTCTATTCAAAGTTGTGACCTTTTATTGCTTTTCAGTATTGATTAGGCATAAACTTAGTTTGCAGGCTTTGCTTTTTCAGTTTGAGGGTTCAACTTAGAATGTAATTGTTGTCTATTATGTAGATGCTGATACGATATGAATATGTCATTTTGGTAGTGGATTACTCATTTGTATGTTTTGGCTAAACACAAAAATTTTTGCCCTTGTACAAATATGTTTTTTCTTATTTTGCTCATGTCAAGTTGTTCAATCTCAAATATTGTAAAGTAAGCGAAATTTCTTGACGAACGATTTATATTAACAGAAAACAGTTTTATTTGCAAGAATTGTAATCACGAGCACACCTGATTGACATATTTATGTTGTTTATAACCTTTTCACACTATTTTAGGCCAAGTTATCACTGGTAGTCGGATAAAACTATAAAGTGTTAAGACCCTAGGGTGCAAGCAGTCAGGAACATTCATTTGTTGGAACATACTGCATGTTTACTCAATGTCCCTTGTCGGCAACCGCTTGGTGATTGCAATTGCTGGAATGCTGGAATGCTGGAAGACATGTGAATGCGTATGACCTTCGGAACATGTCCCATCTCAAAGAACGAAGGGAATCATCGCTCGTCGTGTCACATTCAGAGCAGTCTTCATGGAGCAAGAAATGGCAAGCCTATCGGTGTGTTTGTTGTATTGCTAGAATATTATTTAGTTTTCATGTTTGTATTTTAAATTGTAAAACTATTCTTTGTTATATTGCTAGAATATTATTCAATGAGACTATTTGAATTTTTTCTTCAATTTATATTCTTCAAATGTATGGTTTATCGGTTAAATACAGAAAAATGACAAATTTGGGATGGGGTAGGGCAGGGCTGCATCGGCCTGCCTCAGAACCGGTCAGGTCGCGGGCCCGACCTGCTCGACCCGTTGCTGGTCACATGACAAGGCATGTCTATGGGCAGGTGTGCGGGCTAGGTTCGAGTTCGTATTTACCTGGCCCCACGTGGCCCATTCCCATCCATAATGAAATCGTTACAAAATAGTGGTGTTAAATACATAATCATGACGCTCTAAAACATGTTGGCACAATGAAAGTTATCAACGCATAAATTTTGTCTCATCAAAATTTGATATAACGACGCATGTAATAAAATGTCACATTAAAATTTACAACGCACATGTGCGTCGCCAAAATTTATAATGATGGCGCACTAAAAAAAGCGTCAAGAATGATTATTACAGACGCAAACGACTTGCGTCACAAATTCTACAAAAGTGACGCATTAAGGAAAGCGTCACATATTAAAATTTACCTACGTTAAAGTTTTGTGTTGCAGATAATTTCGTGACATCAAATTTAGCAACGCAACTTGCGACACTTTTAATAGTGTAGGTAAATTTGTTGCGACAGTAATAAACGTCATTAAATAAAAATATAAGCGTCGCCAAACACCTTATTTTTTGTAGCGCCGATGAACCGGGACCGGTTCGAATGGTTCAACGGTTCAAGCTTTTGAACTTGAAATTGGTTGATTGTGAAGTGATTTAAATAACACAATTTTTTTACTTGTGTTTCCAATGTGGGATATGTTCCCTGGGTAAATTATTGGGTCAATATTGGGCCTTACAAGCAATATTGTACTTATTAAAAAAAATGAACTAATTTTTAAATTGGACTATCTATTGGGCTACATCTATTCCCAATTTATTAAAAAAGAAATAAGCAAATGATTGTTGTTTGTTATTACATTATTTTTTTTTAAAGCAATAATAAAAAATTTAAAATGTGATTTAAAATTAAAATAGGATTGTTTCTATTCTCTCTATTTTGAAACTTAAATATAGATTAAAATTTTAAATATAAAAAATAACATAAAATAAAAAAAATATAAACATTAATCAACATTGTCAGTTGTATCTATTATTGAGAGAAATGTCATATACTATAAAATTAATAATAAATAAATAAATATATATATATATAAAATAAATAAAAAATTATATATTAATTAAACTGGTTCGATCACTGGTCCGACCAGTGAACCATTGAACTATGATTGGTCGTAAAAAATGTGTATATAATATATTTACTAGCGTATTTTTATATGCTTAATTTTATCGCATTTATATGTTTTTCGACTTATTTATTTATTAGATGGATTTGAGTACTATGATATATTTATTGTTTATTTTCAGGATATTGGAGGCTTTCAATTGACGACGTGGTACCAAACGAGAATTTGAATTTGTAATATTGAGGTGCCTCATACCCGTCCCAATATAGGCCATATGTTTGAATAAAGGACACCGTATATTTTTTTTTGTAAAAAAAAAAAACGTTTACTTTAATGATATGGCTTATCAATTAAGTCAATAACACCTTTTATGTTTCCATCTTATATGTTAATTAGCAGTTTTTTTAGGCGATTGGTTTTTTCTTTCCTCTCTCTTCTATTATCTCTCTTACGGTTTCTTTTTCTTCTTCTTCTCTTTTTTATTACCTTCTTTTTTTCTTCTTCAAATTTTTCCTTTTTCAGTTCTTTTTTCTTCCCAGTTTTTTTTTCTTCCCTCATATACACATATAAACACACTTTTCTTCTTCTTCTTCTTTTTTTTTTAATTACATATTTTTCTTCTTCAATTTTTTCTACACGCATATACACGCACACACACATACTCGCATATACACACACACGCATATACACGCACATACACGCACACACATACTCCCATATACACACACACTCTGACACGCATACACGTATATACGACGGGGTGNTTTTTTTTTTTTTTTACGAAACGATAGAAAATATTATATAACAAAAACGCACAAATGTGCAAAGTACACAGCCCATGGCCGAAGAATACAGCCCACAGCTGAATAAAACCGGGAGGACAGGTCTAAAAGACCGCCTAGAGACGACTAGCAACGCTAGAAAGAAAACTCACAATAACACAACACCAAGAACCTAACTACGGAACGACCCCAAACGAGGTAATGTGGAACGACCCCCAACGAGGTAATGTGGGACGACTCCAACGGAGTAATCCCTCGCACAGGGGCCAAGTGACCCAAACCTAAAATACCAGACCAGAACAAACCAATACAGACACAAAATAGCCTAATCCAAATCAAAACACTAACATAAAAAACACGAACACAAAAACACTAAACTATATAATCTAATAGCCCTTCCTCAGCGAACGAGTAAGCGCTAACCAATGGTGAACGATCGACACAAGACAATCCAGGCCAAAGAATCGACTACCGAAACTGCAATCAAGCCTATACAGTAATCAGAATCAAACCCCGAATCAATCGCCGCATCGACCCATCTCCAAACGAGCGAACAAGAACCAACCCCCACCCGTTCCACCCGATCCCATCTAACACCACTAGTGAGCTCGGAAGAACCAAATCCCCCACCGCCTATCACCACTAGACGACAGGGAGGGAGGGAGAGGCGCGTCGCTGCTCCGGCAACCATGGCAAAGGACCCAGCTAAAGCTTTGCCCCACCACTGCGCTGCCAAAGCCCCGCCCCACACACAAACCCACGCACCGCGCCACCACAAATCGCCGGCAACTGGAGGCCAAACTCCACCCGAAGCTCCACCGGAGAAGGCGATACCAACGAGAGGAGTCTTCATGTCATAGACCGGAGGCGAATCTCGCTGTTGACGACTTCCAGCTGGGGACCGGCCGGCAACAAATCGCAGGCCTTTCTCCGTCATTGAGCCGCACCACGTATCGAGCTCCAGTCTGTAACCGAGGCCCGACCACCCAGCTGTGACCACCTGCAGCAACATCGGAGGAGCGCGAGTCAGGCGTGATTCGAGCGATTGGAGATGACCATTGGCCGGAGCTTAGAAGTCACCGGGGAAGGCGATCGGCAGATTGATTGAAGGCGGCGGATGGGTTTTGGGAATTAGGTTTCGATGAGAGAGTTTTTTTCCTGCTAGCTTATATATATATATATTTTCGATTGTCCTAATTTTTCACATCAATTAACAATATCTATGTTAATTTGGACATGTTCTAGACTTTGTAAATTTTTGTTGGAATATTTAGTAATTTGATTGAACATTCTCTTTGTTTCCTTTTCTTTTTAATACTGTTGTTATTAAATTGTGTATGGTGACATGAGTTCCAATTCTAACTATCGTTTGACGATAAGTCATTTTTATGTTGTTTGATAGGTAGTATGGTATTTTTTTGTTGTTGCTGCACATTTTTTTTATGTTATTTCTCTCGAGTTCTTATAATTTTTATTTTTATTCCTAAGATGTGTTGTTTTTTCTTTTTCGATGTCTTGTCTTTTATGATTTATTATTGGTTGTTTTCTCTTATGCATTCAAGTTAGAAGAAGGACAAGAAGAAGGAGATGATGATGAAGATACGTGGAGAAGAGATGAAAGAGAGTAGACATGGCTAAAGGGTCGCCCGGCTCGCCGACCCGGCCCTAATTCGGCCCTGACCCGTCACGGACCCGGCCCGGTCAAACCGGTTGACCACGGGTCCGGGACCAGCCCGCATTTCAGAAGGACCGTGTAAGGGTCATTCATTTCATGACTCGGTCCTGAGGGTCAGGGCCGGGCCGGGTCGATGACCCTTCTTTTCAATTTTTTTATTATTTTTTTATACTTTTTTTTAAAAAAGCCCGGACCCGGCACGGCCCGGACACGACCTGACCCGAACACGGACCCGGCACGAGTATAGGTCCATGCCGGTTCAGGGTCAGTATTTTCGAGCCCGGCGACCCGGCACGACCCGGCCCGGGTTTTGGCCATGTCTAAAAGAGAGAAGAAAAAGAGAGAGAAAGAAAATAGAAATTTTAAAATTCTTTTAGTTTCTCTCTTGGTAGTTGTATTTATTTGAAATTGTAACATTTGTGGAATTGTTGATGGGTTATATATTTTGGACGGTTTTGCAATGGAGCCAACCTTCTATATACATCAAATAAACCTACCATATTCTTTGATTACCTAAATAAAACTAAGATAATTTTATGAATATGGTAGGTTTATTTGATGTACATAGAAGGTTGGCTCCATTATAGAGCCAACTGTTGGCTCCATAGCAAAACCGATATTTTGGAATGTACTTTTTTATAGGAACTAGTTATGTCCATTCGCCCACATGTTTTAATTGATTGTCTTGGGTTGGGACGTGAATATTGGAAGAGGAACAAATTAGTATTGGATGGGCTAGGCCCAATTTTCTCATATTATAACTAACTTGGAATTATTGAGGCATCAAACAAAGGAAGGGTGGAGAGTTAATTGCTGGAGGAGTTTTAATTAGTAGGCCACTAGGAATTATTTGCCCCCACCCACGCAGGAGACATATATGGCGAGAGGAATTCATCATAACAGAAGAGAAAGCCGCCACGCAGACATACCTGGAGGAGACAGACGGGCAATTTTATTCTGTTTATCTTTTTATTTATTATGTTGGAGTAGATTTTATTTCTAGTTCTGGGAAAATTGAATCCTATGACTTGATGATGTCTTGATGATTAATTTACATGGTTGATAATTTCATTATCTTTTTGGAATTGTGCGTGTTATTTTGACT